GGTGCACTCGATCCCACTGTCTATGTCATTGATGAAGATAAAACATTTAGCAAAAGGCATCCTACTTCCCACCTCGTCAGGAAAAGTTTTAGGTGTGTGCAGATCAGACATCTGCTGTAGTGTAAACAAAGTTCCTTAAACAAAAAAAGTGACATTGAGGGCAATGGGGGAGCTTTCCTTTCCCTTCTCTGTTCCTGCCTGATGAGGTTTTGACTGTCTAATAGATATAGTGTGCTTTGTGCTCAGTGTTAGACCTTGATGTCCATTGAAATAGTGGGTTCAGAATGATGGGGTGTGACTTCTGCCTCTTCCCTGAGTCCCTAAAATGGCCATGCATTGGTATTAGTATCAGAAGAATCCCAGCTAAAAACTAACAATGAAATTCTGAAATGTTTCATATTGATTTGCATGAAGTGGATGTAAGCTTGTTTGAACGATGCCATGAACTCGTAGTCCATGACAGTGCACCATTTCTTGTTGTGGTCTTTTCTGCCTTGCAAATTCACGAGAAGCTGGGCAAGTAGTAGGATGCAGTCAAGCAACAGATAGTGTCTTTGCTGGTCTGATGACTATACTGAATTTTCTCTCTCGCCTGTGGCAATTCTGCAAATCTAGTAGGCTATCAAGGAGTGCAGAGAGTCATCCCTTGGAAAATGGGCAACAGCATCCTGTGGAGATGCCAGAAGCACATTTGTCCTGTTACACAGTGCGTGATAGACATCCCATCTGGCTCAGGCCCTGGAAGAAGTAGATCTGAATCAGCACAGTCTTCTTCTTGATCTAATTACTCCTGACCAAAAGAAACAGCACTAGTTCAGCAATACTGCTTCCAAGAACTCCACGCTGCATTGCACTACACCACGCATGCCAAACTGTTCATCCCCTGTAGCTTTTCCCTCTGTGTGAGCTTGCAGTCATTACAAGGGGGTATCTTGCTGTGTGCTTCATGCTGCACCATGCTACAATACAGAGATTCAGCCAGCACATTTTGACAGTAATATGTGTCCAGGCAGCTTTTACAAATCACCCGTGGTTCAGTTTCAGTCCCTAAAAGGGGTGGTGTGCCTGAGAGCTGTTTGCTCACCAGCCATATTGGCTGGTCTAATAAAACCTATTATTCTCTCCTAATGGAGAATGATTCAGGATATGAAAAATAAACTCAAGCAAAACAAAGTATGCATTACATCCACATCCGATTCATATTTGTAACCAGATTGACTCAAGATGTGTATTTGTCAGGAGACCCTTTGAGATTATAGCTTTTGTAGTCTATGAATCGGATAACCCTTAACTCAGGGGATTTCAGTCCAAGTCAGGGCATCATGATTTGCCTACTCCTTCCACCCCTGTCCACCCCCACTGCCACACCACATGCTGCACTTTCCTAATACTGCAGGGAAGCCAGATGTGGGGGACTCAGAGGTGTTGTAAACTGGTTACCTACCTAAAAATTATAACCGTGACTCTCCAAATCTTGCAGGCACAGTATCTTGAACAGCCAGCTATTCAGGGGACCTAACAAGATAATACTGACCTTGGATGACCTTGTCTTCATCAACCCAGAGCTACATAAAAAGGTAAGTTCTTCCACTCATGAAAGTAATCTGGGGGACAGGTTTGCTGTGTGGTGTTTTCATACCCATGAAGCTCTGGGAAGGTCAATCACTTCTCCATGTCTTGTTTTCCCCTGCATATCAGAAAATTTCCCCTATGATGAGTGTTTTTGAGTGTCAGATTAGATGCACATGCAGTGTCAGAGCTGTTACAATGATGTAAAATAGTACCCTTGGTTGTGTTTATTCTAACAGCCAGGGCTTAATCTTTGAGGTTGGATCACGTAGCATAGTTCATGTCCATATAGCTAAACCATCTTACCCTCTAAAATAAAGTGTCTGCATCTCCAAACTACCTACTGGGAACAGTTCCTGGCCTGTGCTGGCACCTGTCCCGAGCTGGGGATCTCCTGGGGGAGTGTTATTTGGCATAGGCCAGAGCCATGACCAGGACCATGCCAACAATATGGACTGCTGTGGAGCAATCCCTTTGCCTAGGTCACTGGCACAGGTAGAGGCTTCTTGCCTGTGCCAGAGGAGACACTTCCCTGTGCCTTGCTCAGAGCGATACCTGCCTCATCTAGTGTCTTCCCCAGCCACAACATTTCCATCACCTAAAGTGCTGCTGTAGTGTTTCAAGGTACTAAACAGGGTCAACCTTATGAGTGTGTTAGAGGTATTCAGAGAGGTGAGATGGGAAGTTTGGGAGATTTGGGAGGTTACTAGCATAGGTGAAACGTATGGCCCAAGGCAGAGCTGGAGTGGAGGTGTACATCCAAAAGGTGGTAACTGTCTTGCACCTGCTTTCCTTGCCTTCCAGAGGCTGACATTGGACAGTCTGACTGATGCAAACAGCGTAACAGCCGATGGCAGAAGCCTGAAATCTGCAACCCGCTCCTTTTCCTTGAAAAGCACAGCTGCCACCCATGAAACCTCCAATGTGGCTTTATATGAGGTAGGTAGGGACCTTGTGCAGCCTACTCCCATCACTTTGGTTCACTGAGCTGATCAAGTGGAGAAAGTCTTGGGTGCAGTACAGTAGATCCCAGGATGTGAATACTGCTGATGGACCCTGAGGGTAAAAATAAGTTAATCCCAAGCAGGGACTTACCACTGTTTAAAGTGTCTCTACCCCAGCCCTCACCCTGACACTTGGAGGCATGTGGGGTGGTGGTATTCGACATCCCTATGTAGTGTTGCTGGGTCTGGTCCCTGTTAGAGATGCCACCACCTAAAGGCACCGTGAAGAACCTTTCTTACAAGACAAGGCCTTTAGGTGGTGACATCTCTAATAAGGACCTTTCTTACAAGACATGATCCACACACACAGAATAAAGGCTATCAAATCGTCCTTTGTTTTAATAGAACCGTATGGGGTTTAAGCAGAGGCAATGGCCAAGAAAACTCACCCCATCCATCAGTTCTTTCCTAAAAACACAGCTTTTTGAAAAAATATCATGGCAATTTTTCCTGAAAAGGACCAAAATAAACTGGATCATTAATGCCAGAGAAAAGCTTTGGACAGAGTTACTTTCTTTTTTAATCAGTTTATCATTGTTTATCAGATACTAATACACTTTCCAGGTATGAAGTCCTGATCCAGGTGAAGGTCCTGCCTCACCCCATTTTTTTTAGGGTTTCCTCTGGATATTTTATTTTGGGTGCAATATAGAAAGAATCTATTGCCAGGAATATTGAAAGTCCCCAATCACTTTCAAAGTCAAGGATCTGGAATTCAGACCTAGGTCCCAGTGTTATCTGTTGCTCAGAGATGTGCTCTGTCATTCACCCACCTGTATTGTGGACAGGGAGACTGGGTGTGGCTGAAAAAATTTGAGACGGGAGCAGTCCACAATCTGCGGCAAAGCTCCACCAGCATCTTGAGGAAGGTAGGAACAGGGGATGGGAATGTGGAGGGAAAGTTGATTGGGGGACCTTTGTATTTTTATTCTCCTTGTCTCCTGTTTAGCCATTGAATCACATGTCATGACTGTCAATGAGTCTTGCCTGGTGACATCTGGTGGAATGGACCATGCATGGTTGCATCTGACAAACTTACGAATGACCCATGTGTCAGAGTTGGCAGCTTGCAAAACCCCACCATGGCCCTGACACTTCAAAGCTAGTGCAATGCTGAATGTAGAATGAGTCCTCTAAGTGGCCTTGTCTACAAAGGCAGAGTGGTTTGGAGGAAATTATCCCTGCCTGTGTCAGAGCAGGATGATGCACTGGTAGCTATTTTCATGTGTTATTTGTTGACTGCCTAACTGTGGCACAGACACAGTTGTGCATTTCTCTGGGATTTGCTTTGTGTCTCCAGCTAAGACGCCTGCTAGAAGTTTACTTTTAGTCTTCGATTTTATTATTATTACTAAATGACAAGCAAACACGGGTTTTTTTTCCAAATTCAAGGCCATTAGTTGTTGGCAGCTACTGCTAACATAGGAGTGGCATTTTTATGCACATAAATATAACAACTCTACAAGGGCATGTCTCCAAAGGCACCATTGATGGATGACTTTGGATCCTCCAGACATGATATTGCTTTCCAGATCAGACCAGAGCTGGAGCAAGACTCCACATGCTGAACTTAATTTACCCCAACGAAGCCCTTTTGTCCTAGTGAAAGATCCAATCCAGCTTGTCTAAAGAAAAAAACAAATTTCTGTTCAGTTTGCTTTTGCTATCTTGCTTTCTTTGTCTTAATGGATAGACTTAGAAAAGCAAAGCTTTAAAAGAGTGTAGGATAGCTGAAAGGAAGCAGCAAAGAGGTTCTTAGCTTCCCCATCCTGTGTGAAAGACTGTTTGGGAGTACAGGAATGGTAAGGACATATAATATAAAGAAGCTGCTGAGCAGATGTCTGGCTGACTTGGTCTCTTGTGATTCACTGTCTTGTTTCAGATGAAAGATCTGCGTCATGAAAATGTGAATCTGTTCCTGGGCTTTTTCTCTGACTGTGGCATCTTTGCCATAGTGACAGAGTACTGCTCCCGAGGAAGCCTGGAGGACTTGCTGAGAAATGAAGATATGAAACTGGATTGGATGTTCAAGTCCTCTCTCGTGATGGATCTAATTAAAGTAAATCCATTGCTCCTGCTGAGGCGTGACCTGCATGTGACTTTTATAATGAAATAGCTATCTCATCCAGGACTTTGGGATTTTTATAGTAATGCAGGGAAAACCAATGTGAATGCAATTATACTGGTATACAGGCTCTTTAATGGAGACCTCTTATTCCTGTTTTGTTACCATCTGAGAGAAGCACTATTCGGGGTAATAGGACTATATCTAATAGGATGAGAGGTTAAAACTTCACATCAGGCTAGAAATTATCACCTAGAACAATTAATTTGGTGACAAATTCTTACTTTCCAAAGGCCCTTTCTTGTCATAAAGCAGAAATGCATCCAGCATAGACCCAAACTGTAGACATCCCCTGTCACAGGATGGCTACATGTATGGTCACTTTAGAAGAGTGTTCACGCACTTCCAATCACATCCCATGTATTTTCATCCCCTAATGGTGAACTACCAGTCTGGGACTGATGGCCTACAGAGGGTAGACTGCCAGAACTATTCTTACAGCCAATGATCCACCTTCTGTTCCTCCTTGAGGGAGATGGGTAAGGGCATCCAGCTCTTAATGGCTTCCCTTGACCTAACCATTGGGTACCACTTGTGCCCACCTTCTTAACCTTGTTCAAAAGTACAACTTCTGAGTGCGATGAGTCCTAGGGCTACAGATGGAGGAGTGTTCCTAAAGCTGCCAGTCCTTTCCACTGTTACTTTAGGGTGCAGCTAACTGAATTCTTGTTCCTAATCCATTTCTGAACTTTGCCCACAGTTTCTTGGGTTGATCAAGACTGAATTTGACATAGAGTCAATGCTGTATCTGATGCCATCTAAGGTCACAATTTGACTTTGTGTCTCTGAATGCTGGTGGATAATATAATTCTTAAGGAACAGCCTCAATCTTTTCTGTGTTTCATAGGGAATTAGATATTTGCATCACCGAGATTTTGCCCATGGACGTCTCAAGTCTCGTAACTGTGTTGTGGATGGCCGGTTTGTGCTGAAGATCACTGACTATGGTTATAATGAGCTCTTAGAAGCACAGAAATGCCCATATATTCAGCCACCCCCAGAAGGTAGGTGCCATAAGGAAATATTTTTTTGGAAATATTTGTCCATTGATTTAACAGATGCTTGTCCTAATGCAATTGCAGGCCAGTGGCCACAGAAGGATTTATGTGCTCAATCTCACAACATCTAGTTGCCTGTATACAATGTATTGTTACAGAACAGGATAAGCAAAGTTTTTTCAGACTTCCTGAAATGAAGTGAATAGCAGAGTGTCATGGCAAAGAAAAACAATTTTATTATAAGCAGTGACAGAACTTAAGCATGTTGTAATTGGAAAAGGATTTAAGTGCCCCTGAAATCTGATCAGTCCTGAATTTCTATGACTAGGCCCAACCCTATATTTGAAGTTTTAGGTTAACCCAAATGCAAAGAGTCTTGTTTTGTAAAACTAAGCCATCTGAAACACAAGATGATACAGGTCTCTGAAATAGGTCTTCTACATGCCAGTCACCAAAGGCTGCCCCATGACATTCCCACCACTTAGGCACAGCATCTCATGGGACAAGGTTTGGAGGCTTTGACGGGATTTCTTTCACCTGGCCATTGCCTTGGTGTTGCTCTGGTATCCCAGTTTATTCTTGAAACTTGGTTTCAAGTAGTATGTAGTGTTTTGATCCATCTGTCACAGGATTTGGTTCCTACACATTTCCAGCGTCTCAGGTAGGGCAGTTGCCAGAAGACCTTTTTCTCCCTTACAGAAGTTATATATATTACTGTAGCTGAAATGTTCCTTATTCCCATTACTCGAATGCACAGTTACCAGGGTAACAATATCCTGGTCTAAAGAAGATTCATCTCTTGATGAGGCTGGGTATGAGTTACAACTATGTCTTTCATCACTTGAACAATTGGATTATAAAGACTGATGGTACTTCAAACTGCCACAGACTGCTTTTACAGAAACTATTTTTATCTAAGAAGGAATACAGAATATATCTTTTTAACTGTTGTTTTGTAAAAGAGCAACAACAATAACAAGAAATCCAGGCTTCAGCATCAACATTTTGTCTGAGTGATACTTTCAAACAAAAAAAGGTGTTAACTCTTTTGGTAACGGTGAGAAGACTTCTTACGTAGATGTTCAAGGATGGCGTTCTAGCATGTAAATTGTTGGTATAGCAAAATATTTTTAAAAGGTAGAGTGGAATTTGGAAAATTCAAGTTTTTTGTCAGCATGGAAGTTTAATATTTCTAACACATCACAAGAAATAAAAGACTTGGTCCAGGAAATAATGACATATGTTCCAACCTTTCCTCAAATGACTGAAATGAAATGTTCATTTAAGTACCTAATTTGCAATAGTCTGAGCTCAAGTGTAAGAAACATGATACTCTTGATTTTTTTAGAATTGCTCTGGACAGCTCCTGAGTTACTGAGGGACCCGGACATGTGCAGAAAAGGCACATTCAAAGGGGACATTTACAGCTTTGCAATCATTCTACAAGAAGTGGTTGTTCGGGGTCCACCATACTGCATGTCAGAACTCTCAGCTGAAGGTAGGCAACTATTGCAGTACAATTTTAAGGCGTTACACAGAGTGCTCAAAAAATGTCTGGCCAAGCACCTTGGGTAGAACATTAGTATGGAAATAATGTCCCAATCTCATGACCTTTCTCAGTGACAAAAGGCTGTTTTCAACAAAACATCCATAATAAACATCAAAATGTGTAGTTCTGATCTCAGCCGCGGTATGTGACTCATCACTGCTATCAATGGTGTTGAGGCTCTTGGGTACCCCCCAAGAGGCTTCAGAGCTGGCCAGCAGTCAGACCCCTGCCACACCTCCAGTTCCTTGTCAAAACTTTGACTTTTCATCATGGTGTGGGGTGAAATCTAATGGCAGAATTTCCCACAGCTTGGAAACTCCTTAGTTTCCCACTCATCAGCCCTTTTTTGTATGTCATGTGGGTTGTGGTTTTTGAACTGGACCCCTTGCTAGCATCCTGTTTTGTCCATCTGCCCATCTATTTTTCCTTAATTACTTCCCCATTTAAAGAGGCTCTCTCTTCAGCAGAGATCAAAGTGATACATCATGACCCCGCTGACATATGTAAGGTGGTTTGTATCAGAAATAGCAAATAGGTGAACTTAGGAACAGCTCATGGTGCAACTCTCATTAGTTTAAGCTGTGTTGTCCGTGCATATGTAGAGCAAACACACTGCAACCAAAAAAGAGCTGATTTCTGTGAAAGCCCATTCTCAACAGGTTTTAAGCTGGACAGTCACCAAGTGGGGTATGGCCACTCAGTATCTGCCTGTTCATCACCTGGAAAAATGGGGCCCTGACCTTGCTGCACCCCAAGCTGCTGCAACAATGCAATGACAATGATGATTATGATGTAACCTGCTCTGTAATTCAGAGCTGGACCTATGATGTAGCCTATGATGTAATTAGCAGGTGTCCCCCCACCTAGACCCCATGGGGAGCCTCCAGCAAATGTTGCACATAGTGCACTCCAGTTTCCTGACCTGAAAAAATGATGAACTTCTACTCATTGTATCCTAATCCTCAAGGAGCTTTTGCTCATGGCGTGAACTTTAAAACTGTCTGGGGAAAGCATTTTCCCCTGGCTGCCCTTGGAAATATTTGGGCCAGGCGCTTTGTTTAGTTCATTTGGTGGAGACTGGTGGGATAAGCCAAAGACCTTTAAAGTAAACTGTCAACACTGAAAAGCTTTGGGTACTCACAGTAACAGCTGTAGAAATGCAGGCCTCTTGCCAGAAAAAGGGTGGTTTTCACTCCATTTGACTGCTCTGCACTACACAAAATGAAACCTTCAAATACAATCACTTTGGGTTGTTTTTTTTTTATGCAGGAAGATATAGTTCTACCTTACAAAAACCACATTTCCTCCAGGATATTCTTACTAAGAAATACCTAAATTGAAGCCAGGGTTGGGTTCAGACATCACATTCCCTTGTCCATGCTTCAGCTGTCAATGAAACCTGCAGCTCCACTCCTTCGCTGTAGTGCTGTTTTATGTGAGAAACACATATTCAAGGACTCACTTCTCAGGGTCTGAAAGCCCAGGCCCAGTTCTTTATTAGTCTTATTTCACCTCTGGATAAGGAGTCACTTCCCAGATGTTGTTTTGAACCCAAACTCTCCCCCTTAAAATATTTTCCATTGTCTCCATTCCCATCAACCTCCTACGTACTGGTTCCCAGTTAATGATGAAGCATCACAGGCTGGTATCCTTCCTGTCTGGGCTCAGCCATAATCCTCTGCTCCCTTAGAGGACTGCAGATCCTAACGGAGAGAGTCAGAGGCAATTTAATTAAATACAAGCCTGAAGGCTCACACATCCATCTGTCACAAAACCTTCCCCCATCCAGCCACTTTATTGCTTATAACCTGGTTCTCCAGGGACAAGAAGGCAGATGAATCTCTTAACTTTTAAAACCTCCAAAAGACTCCTGGCAGAGGAAAGCAGAAACCCCCAGCTTCATTTGATACAGCTGTTGGGTGGTGAGGAATAACGGTGATGGCTGAACGAGCAAACAAGGGACAGGTGAAAAGGTCCATGTCCTTTGCCCCCACCAAGACCCTCCATCTCACAATGTGTTTCCCATTCTTTTTTTTGTCACAGAAATTATAAAGAAAGTGAAGAAGCCCCCTCCCCTGTGCCGCCCAAACATAGCCCCTGAGTTGGCCCCCCTGGAGTGCATCCAGGTAATGAAGCAATGCTGGGGTGAAGCCCCTGAACGACGTCCAACCTTCGAGGAGGTATTTCATAAGGTCAGTGAATAGAGCAGCAGGTGCAATCCTTTGTTTGTACTTGGCAAGAAAGTGTGTTTTTTTTCTTTAAGTGAGCCCTTAAATAATGATTGAAGAAGTCCAAGAACTATAGTTTTGCCTTTGTTATTGGGTTATTTTATGATTCGTGGTGTCTGGCTTACACCTTGTCCTGAACTTGGGCTGCCATCGCACCACCATGTGGGGTGTGAAGCAGGCTGGACACGGGCTTGGTGTCTTCGCATTTGCAGAGTACCTGCACGGATGGTCTCATGGAGATCAAAGATCTGTAAATTACGATAGCACCTTCAGATCAATATGGGTTTTGATCTTCTAAAGTATTTAAAAGGGGATTAATTTAAAAGGAAAATTCACCAAAGGCTGTTAAACACAAAGCTACAATGTTTGGCATAAGGGGTCTCTGAACTGCAGATTGGTGGAGGCTGGGAGCACTTCCCAGGGAATTATGACTGTACCTGAGCCCTGTTTGAACAGCTTTCCCAGACATCTGTTACTGGCCAGTCTTATGGACGGGTACTGACAAAATAAAACCCTTGCCTGATCCAGCAGTACAGTTCCTATGTTTTATAAGGTCAAACGAGGTAAACCAATATCCGTAATTTTTACCTTTTGGTTCTATGAAACTGTGAATAATTTTACACCCATTTGACTCCACTGTTGCATCTAAGGCAGCTTCTGAAGCCACAGATTATCCAAATGGCCCAGAGGCTCAGCTTCAGGCTCAAGAAGAGAGAGCACAACTCAATGAGGAGTTGGGGATTGGAGGTGGCAGTACACATACATGCCAGTGGGCAAAGGTGGATTTAAGGCCAGCAGTACATAAGCATGTTGTGAGTGTTGTTAATGCCCTGAAATTTGCACCTCTAAATGCAAAGGGCTGCAAGTTACCATAAAGTTTAGTCATGGGATAAATGAGGGTGAAAATTTGCAGCATGAAAGGACTCCATAACAACTCACATACATGCTGTCATCTCATGGAAGGTGGTGTTTCACTTAACCCTCACTGAAAGTTCACAGGGAAGCAACATGCTCCTGGGCAGCTTCCATAGTTATTGATGCAAATTTGCCTGCTAATTTGGCTTTTTCCTTTATTGTTGAACTCTTGCCACTGACAAAGTCTTTAGCATTGCCCCTTTAAAATAAGTGTTTGCTTTTTGTTCCTTTCCAAACTTAGAGTGCTACAATGGTGTAATGAGATGCAGAAATAACTCTCCCGTTTGATTTTCCAGTTCAAAACCATCAACAAAGGGAAAAAGACCAATATCATTGACTCAATGCTCAGAATGCTTGAGCAGTATTCAAGCAACCTGGAAGATTTAATCAGGGAGCGGACCGAAGAGCTAGAGGTTGAAAAACAGAAGACAGAAAAACTACTGTCACAAATGCTCCCTCCGTAAGTACTTCTACTTTGGATGGTGAAAAAAAAAAAAAACATAGCTAGACTGGACAGAAGAGTTCCCCAGCAGTGAGGAAGATTGCAGAGTTGACCTCCAATTTTGGCAAACACCTTCCAATCAAAGTAGGAAACTTTAATCAGTGCTGTTACAGCCATATAGAACCTTCTATTTGGTGGAAGGTCTTTTGAGCACAGTAGGACAAGAGTGTCTGAGCTCTTGGGCACGTACTACAAAAGGGTTTGTGGCCTGTCATCTTTGCTTGTGTTTTTATTTCAGATCAGTGGCAGAAGCCCTCAAGACTGGTGGCACTGTGGAGCCGGAGTATTTTGACCAGGTCACCATCTACTTCAGTGACATTGTGGGCTTCACAACCATTTCAGCCCTCAGTGAACCCATTGAAGTAGTTGACCTTCTAAATGACCTTTACACGCTGTTTGATGCTGTTCTTGGAAACCATGATGTTTACAAGGTGAGGAGTACCTGCACACGAGGATCAAACCGTCTATGGGTCAAACGCTCTTGTAGGGTTTTTTTTTCTAGGTCTCTTTGACATCTTTTTCAATTTATTTACTTATTTTTTTAATGTAATGGTATTTGTTAGGTGGAGACAATTGGTGATGCCTATATGGTTGCCTCAGGGCTCCCAAAACGGAATGGAAACAAGCACGCAGCTGAGATAGCCAACATGTCCCTGGACATCCTCAGTTCGGTGGGAACATTCAAAATGAGACACATGCCAGACATCCCCCTCAGGATACGAATCGGGCTGCACACAGGTAGGCAGTGGCACTTGCCTGCACCTGAACATCAAAGAACTCCTTTGCAATTGTATTTCCAGCTTTGAATGATTTTTCCCTGCTGCCCCAAACCAAGCACCCTTAGAAGATGCTTTAAAATCTTCCATAGCAACAAGGGCATTAAAATGGAAGCACAAACCCCAAGGAGGAAAATGGCTCAGTATCATCTGGGGGAGAAATTGTGTGTTCTGTCGCAGTCAGGTACTACATCAGACACGTTATCACAAGGGTTTTGTTGTAAGGGTGGCTCTTTGATGTACCATAGGAACTTCACCGGTGTGGTATGGAGACATCCAGTGATGTCTTTGTAACTCTGTTCTGAAATAAAAAACACAGAAAAACAGGCACATAGAGTGAAATAATGAAAAGGTTGAGGAGATTTGTTACAGGTAGGACATAACTGGAAGAATATTTGATACAGCTATTAAGGAAAAGTTATATTATAAAGAAAGTAAATTATCTCTAATGTTGAAGTCATAATATATTCAATTAACAGAAAACTGGCTTGTTTAAAAAGAAAAGAGGAAGTTCTTTTTTTTTATACAAAGTGTAATTAAACTCCAAAACAAAAAAAACCAGTAAGACTGGGGTTATATAAGCAAAAGTATGACTGGGATTTTAAATGGAGGAAAAAACATCTGCTGTTATCATAGAATCAATATTTTTAGAAGAGATATGAACCTTCATAATTTTATACAATAGTCTTCCATTAATAATTCTTTTCCCAGCTGTTCGTCACCAGACTTCTTGCGTCTTCCTCTAAAGTACCAGGTACTGCCCATTGCAGGAAGCCAAACAATGAATAAGACTGTCCAGGACTCTGACCCAGTATTACAGGGTTTTTATCCTTCTGCCTATCTGATAAAGCCCACATTTTTGCAGCTGTGGCATGCAAGTGTTTTACAGAAGTCAATATCCTGTTCCCTGTTGTACACATTGGGAAACAAGAGCAGAGAAAAGGAAGTCTCTCACTCAGAATATCCCAAGAACAGAGCTGTGACTATATAGACCATATAGGTTCTTCTTTTGGGGTTATCTCTGAAAACTCATCTCCCTACTGTTTTCTTTGCAGTTCGGGGGCCTTAGCTGGCCATTCACAGAAGTCTAAAGTGTTAAGGAATAATTGCAGGAGCACTGTGGGTTTTAGACTCTGGCAGAAATCAGATGAATCCATGGCCCCAGCTTGTCTTGCCCAGAGCAGGAGTCTCTGGAGCACCAGCAGCACATTTTCAACATAGAGGAATTCGAAGTGCAACATCTGCTTCTGCCTGTTGACAGCAATTCTGCAACACACCTTCCATGCACCCAGCCAACAATTTGTCCCTAGGTGATGTGTACAGGGGGTAGCTACATTTTTTCTTGTTTTTATGAACTCTGGGTATCTGGAAAGTGGTGTTGCTGTGAGCTGTTGTGTAGGGTGTGAGAGGAAGAGGGGAAGGAATTGGTGTTTTCTTTCTAAAGAAGCAGAAGCCAGATCTTGTTTTGCACAGATCTGGCAATGTCATAGTGTCATAGGAGAAGTGAGAAATACATGTTCCAAAGCAAACCAGCTCTCTGAGCCACAGAGCTGACAGCAGAGTTTGATTAAGCCTAGACCCTGAGGAAAGAAGCATGAAGAGGGAATCACCAGCACCATGAAAGCATTGAGGACGCATCTGGGGGAGGGGAGGGCTTGGCTAACACTTCCACTGTCCTGGAAAGGATGGAGAATGGGTGTGACCACTAGTTTTATGGGCCAACTGCTCTCCGGAAACTGGGGCCAAGAAGAGCTCATGATCCCCTCTTTGGAAAAGCAGTAAATGCTGTTTGGGCATGGGCTGCCCATGTCCTTCCAAGCCTAATGGAGAGCTACACCTCTGGGAACTTCTGCTGCCCCATGCCCATGGTGCGCTTGTGGCAATGCATGGGTAAGGTGAAGAGGACAAGAAGACCAGTGTTTGGTCTGCAGTTTCTCCCCTGCTTTAAATGCACCCTGGAGCCTTGGCTCTTCTCGCTTGACTTGACTACACATCCAGAAAAACTCAGCTGACTGAGCTGTTTCCATGCCATCCATGCCTGGGCTGGAGCTGGACAGTCAGGGAGAGTGGTGGTGAGAGGACAAGCTTTTCCACGGAGGCTGAAGAGGATCTGTTTATCCATCAGGCTCTCTGGCAGGCAGACCTGCACTTCGATTGAGCTTATTAACCTCTGCGGCACCACTGATGGTTGTTGCAGAGTCTTAGCCAGCACGGCTCATTAACTGACCCTGCAAGCCTTGGCAAAGAGCCATTTCAAAACAAACCAGTGAACCTGTGTAATTAAACAAGTAGGCCATAACCTTCTCATCACAGTGTATCTGGTTTCTTCTGAAACTTGTTACTGTGGGAGATCTATCACTGGAAGTTTTTGTTAACCCTTTGCTGAAGCTGTCTAGACAAGGGGGAACACACACAGGCAGTGAAGGCAGCGAGTGAATGAACTTTTGGATGCTTTCAACATGGAGAAGTCCTTTGGGCATGCTTACACTGTAGGGTTGGTTGTGAACTAATAACTTTCTGTAACAGGACAGACTTAAAAGTAGTACTCCAGAAAGATAGTGCCTCACTCTGAAAATCTTGCCTATACTAGGTTGTGAGCTTTGCAGAAATGATTGGATGATTGCACTGAGTAGGAAACCTAAATTTAGGCACCCATGTGGAGGTGTTGCCAGGGGTGTTAGGCAGCCTGCACTCATTTTGTGATTGGTGGAGATCTGGTGGACACATAAGTGGACCCTTGAGAGCTTCTTAAAATGGAATCAAATCCTCCTCAGCAAGGGCTCTTTTGACAAGAACCACTTTTTTGTGTCCTTGCAACACCTATTGCAGAAGGAGCTTTGATCCTCACTGAGATGTTTGAGTGCCGCTGTCATGTCATCACCACAAGATGAAGAGAGGTGGTGCTGTGTGAGTTAGTGTTTTCTCAGGGAAAGCTCTTACTGAAGCATGAATTAAAAAGTCTCCAAAAAGACCCTTTTTTATGCGTATGTCACATTAGTGTGCACGCATTAAGGACCAGTTAGGTAAGCATTAGGTCCTTGGCCCAGTAGTATCAACAGTGCCTTTACAGAAGTGCCTATAGACAAAACCCTGAAAAAACTTCCTCTAGTGGATATATGTCCTCTCCTGAAGAGCTTGAACCAAATTAGTGAGTACTGATAAGGATGGGAATTAAATTAGAAGGGATTGTGAGGAGCAGTGTCTCATCCAAGGTTGCACAGCATATTGGCAGTAAAAAAACCCTATTAAATCAGGTTCTCATGATCTCCAGCAGTCCCTGCATGCTGTGTTTGATCCAGGCATGCTGTTTAAGTCCTTGTAACATTTTTGGTATGACCCATTCTTCCTCTCTTTTTTTTTTTTTTTTTAATCTTTAAGCAAGTGATGCTTCATCAGGCAGGAGTTAAAATCTGTCTTACCTCTCAGTTTGCGTCCTGTGTACATTATATTAAAATCCTGTTACTTCAACTCTGCAGCAACAACTTTTCAGAGGTCATAGCTTGAGGAGTTCTTGCAAGCTTTCAGCTATGGAGTTTCATTGTCCTTAAGATGTATCTGAAAACTATATGAAAAATCAGTTTTTGTAACTAAGAAGGCTAAATTCACAGTAAAATTACATTGTCTTAAACCAAGTAACTGATCCCTTCTAAATTAGGCTATTATTACAACATTTTAACCTACAGCTTTTTATATTATGAAAAACCTTATCTATAGCATCGTTTCAGATACTGTTGCTGATGTACATTCACATCTCTTGTAACCTTGCATGGGAAAAGATTTCCTAGATACCAGTTTTTACTAAATCTTAACCCAGAAGGATCACAAAATCCAAAAGGCAGGCAGAGCCGGAAAAGTCATATGACATGCAATGGAAAATACAGAGAGGCCTCTCTTTTCTCTGCAGGAAACCCCACACCTCCTTACATTGCTGACAGCATTCTCTTTTTTTTTTTTCTTTTTCCTTTTTTTTTTTTCTTTTCGCATTTATTTTGCAAGCCTGATATTTTAAATTCTGGGTGATGAAATTTAGCATCTCATCTTTCAGAGCACAGTCCAAATATTACGTAAGCCAAGTGCCCCAGATGACAATTGTCTGTGCTGTTTGGCTGTCACACATTTTATCTCTGTGTGTGTGCATGTTCATGTGAATCCTCCACACATACCTCTCCCTGAGAACTTGGCACTGATTCTTTGGGAGCTACTTTGGAAAGGAATGGATCTCATCTAAAGAATGAGAAAGAGGGAAATAAACAGTTTTTGGCTAGACAGGCAAGCTAATGATGCCTTCCTTTCCAAGGAGGGGACACAGGGTGGTCCAGCGTGCTGCCAGCACCTCTGGACTTCCAAGGCTGATTTTCAATCTGGCTTCACTGGGACACAGGACATGTCACAGGATCTGAACTTTAGTTTTCTCAGACGGAAAAGGAGGTCTTTTTAAAATGAGATTGCAATAGTCCTTGAGCTTCCATGAACTCAGAACAAATTTCTCCCAGATGATGCCAAACTGAGGTCCTACCACACCAGACCTTTCTCAGGCATAAAACACTGAGGTGCAATACAGAGCAGTGCTTAATTTTCAATCTTATAGCAAGCACCAAGGTCAATGAGATCTTTAAAAAACCTGCTCCTGTATTCCCAAGTGGTTTTTGAATATCAGAGGAAAGGATAAGATTTGTTTGTTGGTGAGCCCCTTGATTTGTGCAGTACCATCTGGGTTACACAGATGACATGTCTTTCAGGGCCTTGCGTGGCAGGCGTGGTAGGGCTTACCATGCCACGGTACTGCCTCTTTGGAGACACGGTGAACACGGCATCACGAATGGAGTCCACAGGCCTGCGTGAGTATTTGGGAAAGACCCTGGCGTGCGTGGTTGAACAAACTTCTCAAAAGAGATGAAGAATTGCGCATCTGTAGTTACAAGCTTTGTAACTGAATCATGTCTGAAGAAAGGGGCAAGTCAAATGACAAAATTCAAAGCAGCCTGAAGGGGAGGGCATCAGCTTTGCCATAATAGGTCAGCTTTTAAGACCCTGCCTTCCGGCTACAGTCCTCTGATTTGGATCCCACCAACCAAAATCAACATGAATATTGCCCTAGATTTCTCCTACATGGGCTGGATCTTGCTTTCAGTCAGTGCTTTGAAAACCCTTAACTCAGAGCTGTTCTTGCACAGTAAAATAATGCACTTACCTCTCATGGTCAGTACAAGGCATGCTGGAGAGAGAGAAAAGCAGACCACATGCAACGATGTCCTGCAACATGATTCTATGAAGGGTATCATGTGTGATGGCTTCATTTATCAGCAATAACAACTCCACGAACAAGTGTTGGCAGGTCCTAACAAAATCCTTAAGCTTCCCTTCCTATTCGGGTTTTCTTGATGTCTTTCTTGGTGAGTTGATGTTCATGCTATTTTTCCCTCAAGGTCTTGCCTTTGTTTTCCTGAGGTTTCCAGTTATAAAAGCACAGTCTACATGCACAGAGCCAATAGCTGCAGCAGATAAGACAGTACCATCTCTCAGCTGGTTCTTATTGTCCCATGGCTGGAGACTTCTAGACGTGTAAAAAGAGCTGGTGGGCAAGAAAAGTTTACCTGCTTTTCCGTCATATGGGTACACAGATCTGCTGTTTGTTGCTGTCCTTGGCTAAGATATGGATATGCAAACCATAGCGGCTGAACTGTGGGTGACACAGTGGACAGCTAGGGACAACAGTGTCAGAGCCCTGGCTGTGTTTTGAATTTGCTTTTGATCTTCAGGCTGTCAGTACAAAGGCAACGTCTCGTATATTTTAATCCTTGATCTCTGGTCTTCCTTTTGATATTTTTAACAGCTCTCAGAAATTACCTATTATGGCTAGTTTAGAAGCCACATGAAGTCTGTGATATTTAATATTAAAATCTTGAGGTCTTGCCATGCTAGAAATATGTTGCAGTATATATGCCACATTGGAACTTTTTCACTTTTTCATACAATCCTCACATTTCTAGCTCCAGTGACTTTGATTAGACTAATTAAGACTAACAACTAGGCTAATCATTAATTAAGGAGAATTGCCTTTCTTGTGATTATGCCTGGCTAATTTTAAGAGGCATGCATTGCATTTGGAAAGCAGTGAAAAGGAGGAAATACTTTGATAGCGGATTTCTAATGGCAAGACAGATATTTGAAGAATCTCAAGTTTAGACACTTAGAAGGGCAAAGTCCCACTGAGACTGGAGACATCAGGAGCACTGCAGATACAAGAGCATCATTATACTTTAATAGAAATGTATATAGATACACAGTAATAGGAGGATTGTAGGTTAATGTCCCAGGAAATGTAGCTTAAAGCTGTGTGGTCTGCATGTTTGAACTGAAGTTCTTCTTTCTGATTATTCTGCAAAAAAAATTTAATTGGTTCATCCCCCATCCTTCAAGGGGGAACAGAAAGTGATTGACATATTTGAAATAAAAGCTCAAAAAAACCCACCAACAAAGGAAACTATTTTGGGGGAAAATGATTCAGAAACATTCCTTGGCTTGTTCACACCAGCAGAACAACAACAAATTTCAGTGAGTTCCAGTAATGGCTGTAAAACAAACTGGGAGAGATGGGAATTTAGTAAAGGTCTTCACCTTTGCCCTTTTTGTTCATTGGCTGTTAATGGCAACTCTGGCAACTCATCAATTACTGAAAAACGCAAATGGATCTAGATGCACAGCCACATTTTCATTATCTCCCCTTGCAAATTTCGTCTCTCTGCTCTTCATCCCAGCTTTCAAATGACATTGGGTGTCTGGAGCAGGACAGTCAGGTTTTTTTCTTTTCTTTCTTGCTGCCTAGTTATGCTGTGGCAATAGATAAAAATGGCATTTTTAGTTCCATCTGACAGCGTTGCTGAAAAACCACTTACCATCTTTATTAACAGCTGGACTTCTACACTTAGCGTGTTTGGTATCCTTCTCCAGGAAGTCCCCAGTGTAGATCCCCTCTCACCCTGTGCTTGTTACAGCCCTACCTGGAAGGATCTACCCATCAGCATCAAACTCTACATAGGGGAATGCCACACAGCTACACCAGCTACATGCCTGCATGTTTTGGAGCATTTTTCCTTGCCAGTATGAAGCAGAGGGGAATTCACAGCATGTCTGCAGTATACTGATCCAGCTGCTTTGCTTTCCCTTCCCAGCTTACAGAATTCATGTCAGCCAAAGTACAGTGGATACTCTTCGGAGTCTAAATGAAGGCTATGAAATCGTACCTAGGGGAAAAACAGAACTGAAGGTAAGAAGGCCAGGGCTGTGTGAAATGCTTCACAGGAGAATCTTCTTGATTAAGGATTTTTCATATTAAGCTCTTGTTTGGCCTTCATCCACCACTCTTCTGCTGGATCCTTCCCAAATTGTCCCCATCAGTTGTTTCTGTGGGTAATTCTTGAAGGACCACAGGATCGAGCAATCAGCTGTATGTGCTGGATCTAACTATTTATTTAGGAGTCTATTTAGTCCACCCTCAATAGAAGCTGCTACTTTTCACATGTCCAAACAAGACAACACTAAATAATTCAAAACATCACTTCTCCCCTTACATGGTAAATAGACAGGAGCTTTGCTTGCCTTAAACACCTACAGTAAGAGGTCTGAATATGGCTTCAGGTCCCTCAACAATCTTTCATGAGAAGTGGAATCATCTCAACCAAGTGCACATGTCTGCAAGTGGACAGCTGAGGTAATTATTCCAGGTTTAGTCAATGGAAAGAAATGTTTACATAGTCAGTGGAGATAAATTGGCACTTTAGGAAATTATTAACCTGACTTACTTTCAGGGTCCAGTTTATGCGAAGATGAATGTCACACTAGAAATGTATGTTTTCCTCCACTTCTCCAGTCAAGGGCAATTGGCTGATATAGATGCCTACAGTTCATCAGATGCATCCCACCTTAAAAGCTAAATCATCAGTGGTGGGAGCGGAAGTTATTATTCTGATACTCAGCCCAGCAACAGTTGTAAAATCTCTCAATTAGTGATGCTAGTGCTGCCAAATAAGATGATTAGAGATCCTGTAGTTTCCCATTTCTGTTAAGCTGTGTAGGGTCAATGACCCAGATCAATGAGGGTCATTTGTAGATAACAGTTTGAACAAGGCCTCTCTTTTAGGAGAGTGAAATTCAAATCATCCCTGAACAATTGTGAAGGAGAGCCCAAGATTTCCAGCCATGCCCTGTCTCTGGATATGCATGAAGCCCTCAGAAACCCCATGAAGAAGTTATGTATTGAGCAGAGGGTGGTCAGAAATCTGGTATTTATCTGGATTTTTGTTTTTATTTTAGGGTAAAGGAGTAGAAGATACATATTGGCTAGTTGGGAAAAAAGGCTTTCTGAAGCCTTTACCTAAACCTCCTGAAATAAAGCCAGGGTAAGTGTGACTTCATCACCATTCAATACATTCATTAAAAGGTCCTTGTTGGTGTTCACAGGCTGAATAGCTGTCTTTCCATGTTATCTGTTTGCAAAGTCTACCTAATTTTCCTTAGGTGACTTACATTTTCAGGCATAGTACTGGGACTCGGAAATGATGTGGTTTCTTCAACCCCTCTCCTTAACCACAGTTCCCAGAAAGTGGCATGGAAACTTGATGCTTCCCCCCCATAGTGCCTTGGAGACTGAGCACCAGGGACTTCCTTCCTGAATCTCCTTCCTACTCTGTGTGCGTAGGACCAGGCCTCTGGTGTCATCAGTGTATGAGTGACACTCAGATTTTTCTCTCCTTCTATCAAAAGCCTGCAGAAAACACCAGCCTCATTCACCGTATATATAAACATGTTTTTTCCCTGTAGCACTGTTCATTTGAACAGAAAAATAAGCAGACTTTGTGTTGTAAAAATATGGCACTGTTAGGTAATTAAAGACTTAACGATGTTGCCTCCATACAAGTGGAGGTGAGCAAAGACTGAGCACCTGAAAATCATTAAACCATTTCGTAGCTTTGCAATGCCTGAGTTTGCAAACAGAGTACTCCCCTGTTCAGCTGTCACATGCTGTATGCCTGGAAAGGATGTTGTGGTCAGGGCATAAAAAACAGGAGTGGGATTTGTTTGACAAGAACAGTGTAGTCACCCACATTAAAGCTAGTCAACCTTGACTGCCTTTATAGTCAAAGAGAAATACGTGCTCAGGGGTCTGGTTCGACTGGTCTGCTTGGATGTCTGTATTGGAGGATGAATTGCCCTTGCAAGATGCCTATTTTGTTGACTGTAAAGAGGTCCTACAATGACTAGCTCAGAGACAGATGTCTGACAGCAAACAGGGTCTGTTTTTACTTTGACTCTGACTTCCCCTGAGCAATCTTGTTCTAAGTTTTGCCTCATTTCCTCTTAGTAAAATGAAGATACTTTTTATTTCCCTTTGCAGATAACGGTTAACTACTTGGGCAGTTGCATACAGGGCAGTCCTCGTGCTCAGAGCCCTTCCAGAGCTTTCTTGGAGTAGCACGGAATTTGCAGTATTTTGGGCCATAACTTTTAAGTTATTTGGGTGTTAATCAATGTGGAAAGTAGAAGGGTACCGGAAGATAACTTTGAGAGATAATATTTCTTAGGCTTGGAGGCATTTTATTGTTAATACTTGATGGAAATGAGCTATTGAGTAATGTGTGTTGTTACCAAAGATACTGTTATTCATGGGAAATAGGAAACTTGGAGGGGTTTTGCCAGATTGACAAGGTGAGTTGGCTCACCATGTAACTAAGGAAGCACCAGGACTTCTAACTTGAGAGTAGGTTTTTCTCATCCTGGTTTTACCATCTAAAAGTCATATGTTAGGCCCCTGTTGACTGTTGAGGTTCTTTCCATAATCCTCAAGGAACCTGTCCTCTGGTCATGTGTGCCAAAGTCAGACTCATGCAGGCCCAAGCTGTTTCTAAACATGGATTGTAAATGACAGAAGAGACATCAGGTCCAGGGGGACAATAAGAGGAGGCAAAAACTTTTCCCACATACCCAGGATCAGTGGATCTTGAGCATCCTTGTGTAACCTCAGAAGAATCCACCAGTAGCGCTGCAGAGAGAGAGGTATTCTTCTGCTCTTGCCCCAAGGCCATGATCTTCACTGTTCTTTTGCAGTATTTCTGTCCCCATAGATCATCATACAGCAGTGGAATGAATATGAAAGTAGTCAGAGGAAAAAGCAAAGTTGTACGAAACTGAATCTGTCATAGTGAAGGGTCAAAATGAAAGCTACACCCCATAGAAGTCAAAAGTCAAATGGCAGAAAGAACTAATTGGATGTTCAAGCAAAGCAAATACTTGGAGAACTGTCTCATGCATAGGCTGTGCTATTATCAGATAGGTATCAGACATTGTGTCCTGTTTTTCCAGCTGTATCTTGATGGTTCAGTTTTGTGCCAGTTTATGAGAGATTGAAAATTGTTTCTCTCTTATTGGCCAGTATGGTGGTTTCAAGTCACTGCCTCATATACTTCCATAGGTATTTCCTCATCTGTAGGCTTTTGAGCTGAAGAAGGATGTACTGAATAAATTCCTCTTCTACTCATCTTTTCACCCTGTCCTGGAGCAGCTCATCTTCTATTTAGGTCTTTCCTTTTCATGAAGTCCATGATCATTTGCTTTTCTCTCATGCCTTATTTTGTGACTTGGATGGCCTAAACATTTACAGATGGGCAGTTGTGGTGGTCTTGCTGAGAGGTAGTACTTATTAAGAGAAGGTTAATAAATTGTGCTTGGTCTCACGTCCATACTATGGAAATGCAAACCTGTGGGCCATGGATTTAAGGGTCAGATCCTAGGGGTGGAAGTTCTGTGTGAAGAAAGGGCTCAAAGTAACCCTAAGAAAAATGATTTCATCTTCATTAAAATCCCTGGATCTGTGTTTGACCCCATGAGTTATCTCCTGGAACCGATATGGACCTGGACAATTTGATGACCTTAGTTTCATTCATGGTCTGTTAATGCTTCTTACTGCCATGACAAGTCATAGCCCTTGAGATATGGAGTATTTCAGGTCTTCACTGCAGTGATTTATGGAAAAGACAGCACGTAACATAAAAAAAAGTGCTAACATCCTTTTATTTCCCATGACATAAAACCCATCTGCCAATCAAAGCTGTAAGCACAGTCCTTGGCAGGAGGATTTCTTGACATTTGAAGGCAATTTTCCAGCTCTTGTAGGCGGTCATGAGCAGATATGTGATCAAGTAGCTCATAGAGCTGTTCATAGATGTATAGGGACATATCAAGCTTCATTATCCTACTGTGATCACAGCAGACTTGGCACCCTAGACCTGGAGAACAGTCCTTGACCTTACAAAGGTGAATTTATGTGTAGGTTAGAAGCGAAACTTCAGCAAACCTAAAAATATGGAAGAATATTTAATTAAGTCATTGGGTTAATACTAATGCCCCAGTAAAATACTGTGATGACAAACCCTTCTGGTATTGCTGAAATTGCTGATAGAATACATCTGATTGTCTGGTAATAAACCTCAACCCACCACCAAATGACTAACAAAGGAACAATTATTGCACCTACATAATTTGTATTTAATTGATCAACCTCTCTGTTTAATCCCAATTACAGACTTATTGGAAGCATTAGTTGGAACATTCTCATTGATTTCCACTGTCTGCACCAGGTTTTCATACCTTTACAGTTGTTAAGGTGTTCAGATAAATGCACTTTATTCTTAAAACCCAAGTGCTGCGGGTGACATGGCTCACACAGGATACAAAACATTTTAATTAAGAAGAAAAGTAGTTCAATTAAAAGATCTAATATGCTTCTTACCACCGCTACTTTCTTCCAACCATGCATAAAATCAAATTAACTAAAAGGTTATTCTTACAATCAACCTTAGGTCAAGATGCTTAGGGTCTGTATATCTGTTTTCAGAAGTGAAAAGCTTACTGGAAATCAAGTAAGAAACCCCTTCACATGCTCTTTTTATGGGATAGGGTGGAGGTTCACTAGTAGTCCCAGGACACAGGAAAAGTGCAAGTTTAATGTCCAGATTGCAGCACTGGCTCCTGCCGCAGAGAGTTTTCCTTTTTGAAGGATAACCTTCTTCTGTCTAGGTCTGGTCAAATCTCAGTTTTACCTGCTTTACATGGGAGTTTTAGGTTAACTTTGCATCACATAGAACAAGGGAGGCAGTTCAGTAGGCTCCTTAGTCCTTTCTTTGCTCCAAGGCAAATTTCTACAGCTTTCCTGGCAGATGTCTGCCTTGTAATGAATATTATTTCTCCTTCCTTGCAGCTTGTTAGGATTTGTTTTGCTGCATCTCAGGATCTTGTGGGCTGGGGCTCCATTGTGCAATAGCCAAGGCAAAGAAAAAAACTTTCCAGGCAAAGAAAAAAGCTTTCCACAAAAGCCTGATGCTGCCACAGGAAATAGTAGCAAATTGGAGTGGACCTAGAGAAGGTGTAACAAGATGAGGAGATAACACCACCAAGCATGCTGAGCAGTCGAGCAGCAGCCTATCTGTAAGACAGATTTTTTTTGAGATTTCACAATCAGATAGGTTTAAAGGAGGGCTGTGAGGTTTCTTCGAAGGTACACCAGGAGACTAGTTCTGGGGCTGAAGAGCAGCCATGGAAAAAGCACAAAGTTGCTAGTTCATAAATGTGGGACTTGGTAGTTGGCATCCTGAGATGCTCTGGGACAGACAGCACCTTGTCAGCACTGGTGGACCACTCCTCTTGTCCAGAACAGCAGAAAAGATAGGAGGTTATAAATATCTAGCAAATACAAGCCTGACCTGGACTAAATCACAGACGCATTTGGCCAAGCACTGAAAAAGTATCTAGCACTAGGAAAAATTCAATAGCTAATGAAGTTCAGGAAAAAAACCCCAAGAGCCAGGACCATGTTCATTTGCAGTTCCAAGGAGATGAGTGACATACTCAGTCTTCTGACTTTCCAACTTTTACCATCCTGCTTCAGAAATCCTTTGCGCTGGTACTGAATACAGTGCTTTCAATCAGCAGGAGCCCTCTATCCCAGGAGGCAGTTTTATCTAGAAACTTTCCCTTTCTAACACTATTTTAAAGTATCTATGGAAAGTTAACCGGAGGGGGGAAAAAAAAAAAAATACAATTCAGCAAAGAAAGATACAGATCATGGGTCCTCTCAGGGTTTTAACCATGAACCCAGCACCCAGGTAAAGAACATATGAGAGTTTTGGATTTTTATCTTAAACTCAGTCCCTTCTCTTGTATGAAATCCTGCAGTAGGTCTTAAGTCCAGAAGAGTGGATAGATCATCTAGCCTACCACCATCCACAATGTTAAGTACAACCTGATGTGAGAAATCACTAAAAACTGAAGATGCAGCCAGTATAGGAGAGAGTTTTTGGGCTCTCCCATCCTCACATACATGAGGATCAACCCTGGAGAAAGCACC